TGAAGGAACAGGAAAGCCTTAAAATGACCACTATTTGAAACATTCAAAACATTGGTGAAGTAAAGTGTTCTGATGGAATAAATAATTTCATTTAAGTTTTTAGTGAAATAATCTTGCAAAGACTTAAAAGGAATAAAATCTTACAATATGATATATTAGGTCTTTATCAGTTTACAGCAGGGGTGTCAAACCGCCGGCCCACAGGCCGGTTGCATCATACGGAGGCCGCGTCCACCCCGGCTCTGGCAATGCAAAAAAGTCGTGATATGTCGCGACACATGACGTGGCGAGTTTGATACCCGTGGTTTACAATTATAGAAAAATATGACTGTTGTTTGTTTGTTTGTTTTTTTATAAGAAGTTTTATTAGTTTTTCAATTTTACAGCCAAGTATTTAGGAAGCAGCGCGGTGATAGGGTAACCAATAGTCCAATAACAAAATCTTTTATACATATCTCAGATTACATCATTAAAAGTTCCCTCTCTATTTCCCTTAATTATTGTATCAAATTCAAGTTAATACATTTCTAATTATAGCTCAGTCATTGAATACATTTGTCAATATAATTTTGCTTATACATATCCAAGTCCTGTTTTTAAATTTTACCTAATTCCAATGACCGTATTCCAATTTGGCCTTTAATAACCATAATGTTTAAACTTCAGGTAACCCAAATTTCCCTAATTTCATTACAAAGTAATTATCATGTCTAAAATATACATATTATTCAGATAGTTACATTTTCACAAGTATATTCTATTTCTCATCCTAGTAGCTCATCATTTACTAATAAACTATCTTTCATTGTCACAAACCCCTTTCCATAGTATATTTCAAAACTATAGTCTAATAGCTAATTTTCATTTCCTTTATAAGTCTAAGTCCTGGATATTAGATCAATCAATATCTCTAAAAATCTCCTTAGCCCATTAAGTAAAATTTTAAGCTGTTCCACAATCAATCAGCAATAAGGAGAAAGAGGAAAAAGAAAATCCCATTTTTGAATCTAACTCTAGCTTTCTTTTTGTGCCAAGCGGGTTTTCATACCAATGCCCTTAAATCCTCAAGTGGGTTTCCCTTCATTCCTACACATGTTGTTTGAATCAAGGGAGACCATCCAGTTATCAATTTTTCAAAGGAACTGGCCCCTTTGTAGTCATTAAATTGTTGCCCTAGTAGTTCAAATCTCCCTGTTTGGTTTAAGATATTTGTCATCAGTTCAGTCAGGTCTTTTTCCAGTTTTGTCTGGCTAGAATAAAATATCGTGTCCGGTGTTGTAGTTGTTGTTTGATTGTCAAGATTGTCTAAGTTCTCAATATATTGTGTTTCCATCTTAATGTTGCTTTTTTCAGTTTCTGTTGCTTTTTGAGTTACAAGTACTTTAGTTGAAATCGAGATTTGCTTGTCAAAATTCTCCGTGGGTTGTATTTGTTGTTGTGTAGAATCCTCTTTAATGTTAATTGGTTCCTCTTCAGTTGTTTTTTGGCTTGTAAGTTCATCAGTTAAAGTCTGGGTTTCCATTTGTGGTTTTAAGGTGAGTCTTTGTGTTTCACTCTGGAGTTCATTAGCTCAGTGGCTTCAAGGATTTTTTCAAGTATAAGTTTATAGTTAAGTTGTGGGTAGAATTCCTCCATTTCTATGGTGGTTAGAGACAAACTTTTAGTGGAGGCTATGTTTAGTAAAAGTCAACAAATGTCCACCTCCACTATTCCTAGAAGTTATTTTCACCACCCAGCTGTTTCAGGTTCTTATCTTTTTTAGATAATGTGAAGGCCAATTCTAGAGAATAAACAGTCTTCACAGTAAAAAAAAATATTCAGTTGCTGTACCAGGCTTTGCCACAAGATGTCCCCGATAGACTATAAAATCTTTTTCCAGACACCGGTTAAACTTTTATCCAGTTAATTTTTTTTCCAACTTAACAAATAGATGAAATGATAGATCCCTGTAATAGGAACTTTTTGTTACCCCAAAGTGTCCAAAAAATACAGATCCAGTTATTTAGTTATTTAGATTAGTTGTTCTTTTTTTTCAAAGCTTACTTTCCCAAAGTAGATAGACGCCACTGTATTAGAAGCAGGGAAGAAATTTCAGGAGGCTTTCACAGGAAGATAGTTGGGGTAGGAGAAAGGGAAGGAAGGGTCTCACCCAAATCCTCCGTGGTGCTTTCGTTGTGCTTGGTGGTGATTTTGGCTTTTGGCAGACATGGCTTAGTGATCGGCCATGTTGATGGCCGATCTTTCCTCCGACGGTCCAACGGAGCTGCCTCGGATCAAATGGAAGGGCTGCCGCTCTTCCGCGATCTATCGGCGACGGTTGTTGCCCCTCCAAGGTGACTTACGACCCTTTTCAGGGTCGCCCGACGAAGGGAAACCGGGCGGCGGAGAGAGCGCTGAGAGAGCACCCGCCAGTGCCATAATTTGGAACCGGAAGCCTGTTCGTTTGTTTTTTAAGTCATGATTCTATGACAGTTCTGAAATAGCTTTTATAACTTTTTGTGAAATATAAATTCAAATATTTATTTCAAACTTGCAATTTATTTTGAAAATGGAAAAGTAGCTGATGGAAATTTGATTTACACTAAATATTCAATTGCTGATGAGAACAAAAGCAAGTCTTGGCTTATAAGTAAACTTCTTTTAGGATAAGACAATTCATCAGATGATTTAAACCATCTGGCACAAAAATATTCCTCTTAATATCAAAATGCCTTTGTACTGCCTTTATAGATTTGAAAGTAGCTTTTGATTTGATGTCTAGGGAAATATTGTGGAAGAAACTGATACTGGTAATCCTCAAGTTATGATCCTAATGGAACCTGCCCATTACAGTCACATGTGATCCTCTTAAGAGAGATTTGTGATTGCCTTGCTTAATGACCCCCCACACCTTCTTTCCCTGATATAGTCATTAAGCAGAGTGTGGGATGCCATAAGGGTAGGAGAGATCCTCAGAAGCCTATCACATACCCTGACTTGCCTATCCTGAGTTTCACAAGGCTTCCCTCCTTCCTTTGAGGCACCTTGCTCTCCACTTCCCCTCACCTGGGTCTTGCAGGCTTTGAGTTTCTTTCCCATTCAGCTACTTATCCACCCAGCCAAGCTCAGACTGACTGTAACATGTGGGAAGTGACTGTAGCTCGTAGGCATAGGCATCGAACTTTCTTCACACCTAGCCTCTCAGCTACCCAGGGGCTTGCAGGACTCAGCCTGCTCCTCAGCCATCTCTCAGGCCCTGCAGTACTCAAAATACTTTTTTTTTGCAGCTTTTTGAGACATGCACCCAGCTGATGAGATGCAAGGCTCAGCTTTCCTACAAAGACAGCTTCATGGCAGCATTGTGCTAATTTATAAGCAGGTGTTATTCTTGTGATCTTGTAGGGCAGGGGTGTCAAATTGGCAGCCCACAGGCTGGATGTGTCACGTGCAGGCCATGCCCACCCTGGCTCCACAAAGACAAAAAAATGTCGCAATACATCACGATATGTCACGTGACCGTGATCAAGTTTGACATCCGTTGTTGTAGGGGGTTCTTTCTTTTTTTTTTTTTAAAGGAGGCTCTGTTTTAAATAAATAAATAAATAAAACAAAATAAAACAATCTCCTTGAAAAGTGAGCCTTCTATAAGATTGTGCTTACAGAATAGAATGATACTTCCACGAGGCTGCCTCTTCAGTAAGTTGAGCTGCCAAGCACTTGCTGGCAAAAGAATTACAGGCTGCAGCCATTTTGCCCATATTGCAGTCAGCCTGAATTGCCCTGGATGGATGAGTGGAAGGACGGGAAGGAAACTCAAGCCTGCAAAATGCAGCTGCTTCTCGCAGTATTGCAGCTGGCCTGAACTCCCCTGAATGGATGGATGGGAAGGAAGATAAAGACTTACAAGCTGCAATTGCTTCATCCACACTGTAGCTGGGTCTACCCTGGGTGGCTGAGTGGCTGAGTGGCTGAAGGAGGTTCAGGACCTGCAAGCTGCAATTTGCATGGACTGACCGGAGCTCCTCTGGGTGAATGTTGTGCTCGTCTGAACTCAAGGCCTGGAAGGACAGGATGAGTGGGGAAATACTACAGTGGCCCCTTGAGGTGAATGACCAATGGGGGTGGCTGCAGCAGCCCATTCTGAAACCTGTAGGCTGAGCAAAAAGCTACACTGCATATATAGAAGTAGTCCTTGCTTAGTGACCATTCAAAGTGATGATGGATCCGCTAAAAGATATTTATGACCCAGTTCAGAGGTTCTGATGCTGGATCTGCCGCAAGGTCATGTGATCATATTTCAGGCACTTGGCAACTCGTCTGCATTTATGACTGTTTTCATTATCCTGCAATCATATAACCACAGATTATGACATTTTTGACAAAAAGTGGTATTTATTTCTGGTTTTTAGCAAAAGTGCCCCACTTGAACAATGGGTTTGTTTAATGAGCATGGTGTTCATTTAACGACCATGGCATTTGCTTAATGACCATTTAACAACCATGATATTCGCTTAACAACTGCTGCAAAAAAGTTGTAAAATTGGGTTGATTGCATGATGACCTGCTTCACAAGTGTCATGATTTATGACCATCAGCTCAATTATAGTTTTAAGTTGAGGATTACCTATAGTTTGTATAAAGTGGTGTATCTTTGTGGGACAAAGTATAGTCATTTATTACTACAAGCTTTTGAAAACATTCCTTGACATTTTGGCAGATTTTTTGTTTTTAAAAAAAACTTCTGGTGAGATACCATAATCTAAGGTGAAGGACTATAACATAACTATTTGGCCCATTTACATTTCTTGATCCTTTATCTTATTTTCCAGTCTGAACAATCTGACAAATAACTTCATTTATTGGTTATATCAATCTTCATTGGGAGATGCATAAATAATTCCACAGCATGCTTTCAACACGGAAGCATATGCTCATAGGATCATATAAAGTTTTAGCAACTTTTTAGAGAGAAAGGTATTAAAGTAGAAGATCACTGCTTTGTTTTGCTTCTTTTTATGTAGGTCAAGATTTGATCTGTGTACAGTCTGTGGATGGAATGCTGATGTTGTTTGAACAAGAAAGCTACTCGTTTGGCCGTTTTCTTCCTGGCTTTCTTCTTCCTGGTCCACTGACATATAGTTCTAGAACAGATTCATTCATTACTATCTCTTCCTGTCGACAAGTTGAGAGCTACAGGTGAGTTTAGACATTATACCAGCTGCTGTTTAACACGCATTTATATAAATATTTTAGAATGGTTTACATCTATGAAAATCCAAGCCTTGACTTAATTAATGCTCCATCTAGTTATTATGTAATTTATGCCAGAGCTATATCCAAATATTCTAATAGTATTGAGTACCATGAAATATCCTGCTACTCTCAGTATCTCTTAATGCCTGAAAGCCACATTCAGTTTTAGGGGTTCTTTGTAGTTTCTTTGCACCACAGATATCATTTTGCATTTTCATATAATGTCTTTTAGAAACCTTCTGAAGACAAAAGAATTTGTAATGGGAAGAATATGTCTACAGAATAGGTAGAAGGCACAGCCCCTACATTTTCCTTTCTCTACTGTAGAGGTTTCCAGAGATCCAGAGGTCATCTTATTATAGTGAATAAAGAGGGCTATAAGCAAAACACTGTTAAAATGTTAGTTCAACATAGTTCTGTCCTTTTCTATTACAAGCTATACTTAGCTTGCTGCCAATCCTTCCTTTAGAGAAGAAAGTTTTTCTAAATTGCAAAGTGAAGGGTTAAATCTAGGGATTGACATTGAGATAGAGCAAGGAGTATGTACTTATTTTCAATTTAATTCTGCAGAACCAGATTAATTGCATCTTTAGGTACTGAAGGAATTTGCCGATGGCTTCACCAAATGTTTAGTTTATGTATTTTTGAGAAATCATGAAGAAATTGATAAAGTACAAGATAACTGGAGAAGGGCAAAGATCCCTATATTCAGGGGGCAGAGGAAAGAGAACTATAGAGATTTCATTCTGACACCAATACTAGAACAGATTAAAAAGATGTAGATCTTAAAAACAATGTGTTAATAATCAGAAATCAGCATATCTGATTATGCTGATTTCTGATTATTTCTTATCATATATACTCTATCACATTTTTTATCATATATACTCTATCACATTTTTGATCAGGTAATTTATGTAGGAATTTGTAGGAATTATGCAGGTGTAATAGTTATTTATCAGACTAAGTGATCCTCCAATCAATTGATTCTGAGTGGTGTTTAACTCGTATTCATAATTATTGAAATACATGCATAATAAAAATTATATCATAATACCACCATATATACATCAAGAATCAAACATTCTAAAGTTGTAAAACGCTAAGAAACAGTCACAGGCATGTTTTGAGCAGAAGCTGAAGCTGCTGACAACCTCTGTCTTGTTTATTGCTTTTATATTCTTTCTACATACACAAGTTTCTTAATAATTAAATGCTGACAACAGTTTATTCGTTGGAAAATTCTTTCATCTAACCAACTATTTTCTAGTTACATATTATTATATGGTCAACAACTAGATAAGGAACAAAGACAGGAAAATCAAAGACAGGAAGATAGAAGAAGGAACTAAGCATATTATCTGTTTCGGTACATGAGGTATTAAGTCAAGGGATGTTCCGTGACCTTTTGGCTGCTTCATTGGAGCAAAGGGCATAGCAGCAAAAGGGTATAGAATTATGAGATCTGTGGGGGTGCAAAGCACGGCAGTATGCTGCACGCGCATGTTACCCCTACATAAAGTAAAAATAATTATTTATGTAGAGCAGTTATAGAACCACCCCCCTGAGGCATAGTGAACTAGCCAAGTCTCCATTCAGATCAGGAGGGAGGGGACATCAAGGCCACTATTTCTAAAGTGTAATTTTATGATAAAAAAACATATTTCCTCGCCTCTGTAGATGGCAGTCTCAGATTGAGGGGCATATAAAGAGCCTTCCCTACAATACTTTACAAGGTTCAATATGTATATTATGTATGTCATCCTGAAGATTTCCAAACCCTAAACCATGAAATGTGTTATAGGTGATAACCAGCACTTTGAAATGCTTCCTGAAACCTAAGGGCAACCAACACAATTCTCAAAATAGAAGTTTTATATGTGGGATCCTTGGTGTTCTCTGAATTATATTGAAAGGCATTAATGCCTTCTGATAACCCATAACTACTCAGGTTACTGCATTCTGGACTAACTTTGTCATCTTAGTGCTTTTCAAGCATGTCCTATGTAATGGACATTGCAATAATCCTGTCAAAAGTGACTAAAGCATAAGTGACATTTAATAAATATTATATTTATATTAGCTAAGCATTTGATAAGGTGCCTTGTGATAATCTGATAGCAAGTTATTTAAAGGTGATGCAGAGGCCATAACAAATATATAGAGGGTATGAAAATTGTACTTCAAAGAGATCATGTTAAGAAATGAAAAGCCACTAATATTTGTTCATCAAACTGGCCCAGGCATTGAGTGGAATTTTACAAAGTTTAGTCCTGAGCCCAGAATTTTTCATCATTTTCACTAATGACTAAAAAAGGAAACGAAGGAAAGTTTATCCAAATTTACAAATGGGACAAAATAACTGTAATCTTAGAAGACAAAAATTTAGTTACTAAATTTAGTGATGCTAAATTTAGAGTAATTGAAACTCTGCTAAGTTCTAAAAGAGGAAGGAATTGGGAATTGGGAATATATATACTTCTGAAGGTGGAATATGTCAGTCTTTTTCAAATAACAGAAATGGTGTGATATAAACTATAGATAGATTAAGCAATGTTCTGTATCATTGCTGGCTATGGATTTAAGTTCCTAGAAGAATTATTCCGTTGAATATTGGAAAATATTTTCTTAACAGTAAGAGTAGTATGACAATGTAATCAATTATTCAGAATGATGTATTATTCAAGAGATTAGTAAAACATTTGTTGGGAATAGATTAATCAGCAATGGTTTGGCCTAAATGATTTCTTCAGACTCAGTAATTTTAGAGGCTTTTAGAATTATAGCTGATAGTTGTAGTTTTATTGGCTGTGGTTGTAGTTTTACTGTAATTCCAAGTGTGAATGCTGCATAAGTATATCTGTATTCTACTAATAATGTAATCTTGTGAGTTAAATTATTAGTAGAAATAAATGTTATCTTATCCTGTTATTTTAGTGAATTCATATTCAAGCCTTGTGTTCCAGATTTTGACCATATAATCAGATTTTTAGATAGATTTGGTATCTTCTCAGTTTTTCCAGGAATGTTGTTCCACATTAAATATAAATAGATGATTACATGATCAGAGTTTAAAATTGAAGAATGCTGCTAAGAACATGTGCATGAGCTCCACTCAGTTGTTCACTTGTTCTCATGCCAGCAGTGATTCTGAGGTTTTGGTTTATTTTCTTCGTGAAACCAGATACATTGGCAGCAAATATCTAGCCACTCAAGTGCTTTTATGTTCAAATTTTTATTTCATAGGAACATAAGGGATAATGCTAAATGGCTTTTGAAATAGCTTTCTTTGTGCAAAAGCATCTCTTCAGCAGGAAAGTCCTGCATATTGTTCCTGTTCATAGAAGAATGTGAATATTGAAGTCAAAACAGAAAGAAGACCTTCTTTTTGAACCTGACCCTTGGAAATCTATAGTTTTGTATACATCTGACCAGGGCTATTTTTTTGTCATAGAACGCCCAGAACGGAGTTCCGGCACCTTTTTTGGATGGAACCTTGTAGGGTAGGCAAGGCTGGTTGTATAACGTGTGTGAGTTCTGGCACCTTTTTTTTTTTTTTTTTTACAAAAAAAGCACTGCATCTGACAAATAGATTCCCCCCCCAACTGATTATTATTGTATTTAGTCTGTGCCATGAGTTTGTAGATCAGTATACTTCAGAAGAGTCTCTGACCTTGTGCAAAGTCTTTTTGCTCCTAGGCTTTACAAAATAGTCCCGTGGTTGCAGCCATCCACATCTCCAAGACATTATTATCTGGATGCCTCTGCACAACTAACATCTTTTAGTTGAGCTGTGTTGTCTTGCAGTTTCTTCTAAGCAACTTTTTAATTACTTGTCAAAAGATCTACTAATTGGTCATTTGTACTTAATACACAAATTCCATAGAGTACAGGCTGCTTCATTATAATTATTCCAATGGTCATCAGTGCATTCACAGAACTCCTACAGGCACTTGTCTTTAGACAGGTGTACCTTGGCGACGATTAAGGTTGGAATTTGCAAACACAGACAAGTGAAACAATATTATTTAGTGTTCTTTTTCTATATATTCTAGTATAAAATTTTTGTTGTGAAAATATACATATATATATATTGTTTAAACTACAGGTATCAAGTACTTGCATTAGCAAAAGATGCTGAAACACAAGAAACTGAGCAACAAAAAATTGGATCTGGAAAAAGACTTGTGGTAAATTAAGCTATATATTCGTATGCAACTTAATTAAAAATAACTGAGAGCAGGAGGGGCATGAGTGTTATATGAAGAGTAGAATTAATTTTTCTGATTTTGAACTGATTTTTTTGTACAGGAGTTAATGCAAAATAACTATCTTAAGATAACAAAGATTCAATATATATACAGGTAGTTTTCAACTCACTACTGGTTGCTTATCTATCATTCAAAGTTACAAAGTTACAACTGACCTCCAAAGTTACTTACAACCTGGTCCCAAAATTCTGATGGCCTTACCCCTCTACATCCTCACCAGCTTTATAACTTGTTCCTATTTATAGCTTTTTGCAGCATCCCGAGGTCACATTATCACAATTTATGATGGTCTTGTGGAAAACAGGAGCATATTTCCAGTTTATGGCAAAACCTGGCCCATAGCAAACTGGGCTCTCTTAATGACTATATATAAAATTATTAGAAATTGTTAGAATGTTGACTAAAGCTCTGTGTAAAATAAAAGATTTTATCCCGGAGATCAACATTCTAACAGTCTCTCATAATTTTTAAATGAATACAGATATTTAAAGTAATTACATATATATATATATATATATATATATATATATATATATATATATATATATATATATATATATATATATATATATATATATATATATATATATATATATAATACACACACACACACACACATACATATATGTATGTATGTGTGTGTGTATAAAATTTTATATATATAATTTTATATACATATATTTATAAATATATAAAATACATTTAAAAATATGAAATATAATACACATGCATGCATACATATATTTAATTTCAACAAAAATGCAAATACAGCACCAACAATAATTGTTTTACTGCCAATTTTTTGTAATGCAGTATTGGAGTGCAGCAGGGATTTATAATACAGTATTGTGCAGCTGGAGAGTTGCAAGTAGCTTATTGCCTTTTCTGGTATAAATAATCAGTGCTATTGCTTAACTACACCTAACTACATATCCTAACTTTAGCCCTAAACCTTTCCTGGGAATAATCCAGTTGAGCTTACTAAAAATTTTTGCACACAGATGTGCATGAGATTGTACTATAACTTAATTTATATAGTCACAATCCTCAATTCGGTCATGGGGTCTGTGCTGGTTTTCGTAAAAGATCCTCCATATCAGTAGCGGAAAACAAGTGGTTACATTTTTATACTTGATATAATTTTAAAAGGATCTGTTGAAATTTTGAATACTATGGAAAAAGTAAGCAAAAGTTTTATTTCATGTTATACGTACAAGGTCATTATATCTTCTTTGATTTGCATCGTTGCATGTCTTTTGTATAATATAATATCATCCTGGCATGTGTTTTACCACATAACCTTTTTGTTTTGGGAGCAGGGCTTACCTGATTGAAACTAAAGAGCAATTAAAACAAGGAGAAATCAAACAGAACTAAAATGCAATATTTTAAAAACATTTCTTATAATAGGCAATTTTATAGACTAGGAACAGATTAGTCTCTCACCTTATAATGTGAAACCAGTCTTCTGGTTTATGAAGCTTACTCCTTTTCTTAAACAATGAAATATACTGAAATTAGTGTATGGCTTTGCTGTATGGCATTTATCAGGTTGAAAAATAATTTTAATTGAAGTGAATTTAAAGCTACTGTTAACATGTACTCCACACTGTTGTAACTTGTGTCTCTCTATGTGTTTAAGGTGGACTGGATTTCAAACATTGGGGAACAAGCCTTGGACATATGTGTTGTTTCATTTAATCAGCTTATTTCCTGTATATTTGTTCTTGGGGAGAGAAATTTTTTTTGCCTTAAGGATAATGGACAAATTCGGTTCATTAAAAAGCTTGACCACAGCCCAAGTTGCTTTCTTCCATACTCAGGTTTGTGAATAAAAGCAATGACTAGCATTTTAACGAAGCAGTTTTAGAAGTTTTAATTCTAGCATGGTCAACCAAGATTATACAATTGTAAATATTTCTCTGTAACAATACCTTTAACCTTCAGTGCTTTTTGAGTACATACATATATTCTGTAAATTCGTTACATTATAATCTACAAATATGTGTTAGCTTTGAACTATAGAAGTAGGCCTCTATCTCGTCTCTTTCTATCCTTATCCCTACCCCTACCCTAATCCAATCCTATCCTATCCTATCTCATCCCATCCCATCCCACCATCCTGCCTTTATTATTTACTTGCATGTACAAAATTCCTGGTCACTTACAGCAACTAAATAAATTGTTAAATGGAATACTAAAGCAGACCATTTATTATTTAAGGGTTATTATATATAAGGTAGGTTGTATTTGATTATGATGTTCTACATTTCTTTTAGTAATATATTTTATCCATTCTGAGTATGGGGTTAAATTCTTAAATTGAAGCTAAGTAATTATACTTTTTATTACAAAAATTGTACCATATCTCATTCTCCAAACTTTTTGTTACAAATATATTTTAATAATCCTTTCTAATTTATTATGTGAGACTACAATAGCCTCACAAAATTTGATCTTATTTGCAACAATATAATCTTGACATTTCTAGGAGATCTCCTTATTTATATATTTATTTCACATATACCGGTATTGGTGTAACCAATAAGAATGTCTCTTAAAAGAAGAAAAATAGCTAAGAGGAAGATGAAAATAACATCTTTCCCAAACTCTTTACATATTTTGTAGTGTCTGGGACTGCCATAAACACACTGATTGGAAATCACAACAGCATCTTACATATTTATCAAGACATGACTCTAAAATGGGCAACTCAGCTTCCTCATATTCCTGTGGCAGTACGACTGGGGAAATTACTGTACGTAACCTTAGCATAATTTTAGCTTAGAATTGTGTATGAATGTGTGTCTGTGTGTATATTTTCTAGAATAAAATTTGATTTTAATTTAATTGTTCTTGACTGGCGTTTATTGCTTGTTCAGCTGTACTGCTTGATCAGATGAATCAGAGAAAGTTTATACCATTATAAATTTGTTACTATTTGAATTATACATGTCACGTTGTCTTTCTTTCAGTTCAATTAATTTATTGAAATAATTTTGTTACAATATATGTTTTAGTGTTGTGAATAACACTGATAACCATAACATATTTTTGTTTTATTTTTTTAAGGAGTTAAAAGCAGTATACATTACATTCCTTTTTCTGATATTTATCTTATAGCAATAATTCTGGAGACTGGTTGGATGGAGAGTAATTAGCCCAAGTGAGCTTCCATAGCTGAGGATAGAGTTGAATATGTATCTCTCCTGTCTTACTCCAGCACCTTAGTGTTTACCCAACATTGTTAACCAAATATTGCTGCTATCCTTTGGAGAAGATTTTTTATTAATGATCTAGCTGAACACATGGATGCCCACACTCATATAACACACTTTTTGAATGGATTCATTTTATTATCGTCATGGAAGAGTCAATGTTATTTAATTTTGATGTATTGAATATAGTCTACATTTGCTTTCATATAGTTTTAAAGTACAGCATGGATAGTAGCACATTTGAAAAAGTATATTCCTTGGTTGAAAAATACTAACTTAGAATATCTAGCTAAGGGACAATGTGTAGGTATATGGATCACTTGACTTCTCTTTTTTTCTTACTGTGTATTCATGGTGACTTGTCAATTTTTTATAATGGTCCTCTTTTAGTTACATCTTTCAATTGCTATTTGTCTCATAACTGAATAAGGACTACAGGTATATTTATTTTATTCACACAAACAAATAGAACTTCAAGTGAATTTTTATTTTTATTTTTTAAAAAAATAACCCTCTTGAGGGAACCAATATCTTCCCACTATAGCTTTTATACAGATAAATTAGCAGCAAGTTTTTAAAAAAAAAAAAAAGTCAGAAGATCCATTTAATTTTTTCTGTGATGTAAAGTTTATCCCTTCACTATTATTTTAGTAGCTTAAGCAAAGATGTTAATTGAGTGGAGTGGTAGTTAGATTTCTCGAAACAAGATAGAACCTGGCGGAAGTGTTTAGAAATGTTTAGTAGTTGATAATATTTGGTGCCAAAATCTTTTTAATTCAGTATTTCAAACTGGAATTAGGAAATAAAAATGTGGACATTAACTATTTAAAATCATAATTAGTAGTTGAAGTGAAATGTGTTTGACTCCTTTTTGCAAGTGAATTTTCTTGGAGGAAACTATAATAGCCATTAAATATTGTTTTAGCCCCCTGGAAGAATATTCAAAATTAATCAAACAGTAGTTGCAAACCAAACATAAGAGTCTCCTGCTATTCTTAAGAGTTGTAACATTATTAATTTTTATATATTGCAGTTATTACTGCAGCATGATATTATCTTTAGTTTGAGAAAGGAATATTTATTAATACATCAAAATGAGTTGCTTCTTAAAGCATCCAAATAATTGGATAATAATAATAATTAGTAGCATTTTTAATTTGTTTCAATATTTCTTCTTTATATGTTTATACTGTTTTAAGAAAATAAGTATTTCTTAACTGAATAGTAATAAACATTGTCTTTATATTGTTACAATATGATAATCTTTTTTTTTCCTTTGCAGAAATTTGAAAGGTGTGATTGTTACACTGAGTGATAGTGGCTATCTACAATGTTCTTACCTTGGTACTGATCCTTCTTTATTTCAAGCTCCTAAAGTTGAAGCTAGGAATATTAATTATGCAGAATATGATGCAGAAATGAATAAACTCCAGAAAATTATTAAAGAAGCCAGGAAAATTAAAGGTAATTTTCATTTTAAACAGTGAAGGTAGTCTAAATGGATGTGTTTTCCAGTGTGTCATATTCTTCAAATGTGCCTACTTTCAGATAAAGTTGAAACTGAGTTGAAACTGAAAAGATGGGAATAGGTTTGCTACCTTCAGCCAGGTTATATTCACCTCTCTTTTAGGTTAAGGGTATCCAATCCCTGGGTCCTGGCCCTGTACCAGGCCACAGTCTGTTCGGGACTGGGCTGTGTAGGTGGTGGGCAAGTGCATGTATATGTGCAATGCTCCCCTCAAGCGAGTGGTGGCTGCTTTCGCTTACACGTGAAGCTCCCCTTGAGTGAATGATGGCTGCTTGCTCTCATGCACGAAGCTCCCCTTATGCGAGTGGTGGCCGTCTTGACTTGAGCAGTGGTCTTTTGCGCTTGTGCATGAAGCACTCTTCATGTGAGTGGCAGCTGCTTGCCCCACATGTAAAGCTCCCCTCATGCAAGCGGTGCCTTGCGTGCGAAGCTCCCCTTGCATAAGCAATGGCCGCTTACATTTGCGCATGAAGCTCCCTTTACACGAGAGGCGTGAGCTTGTACAAATGGAGCAGTGCACGGTTGCACACACCTGCCTACCACTCAAAAGGAACTATCTCCTCTACCCTCCACCGCCTGCTGGGCCAGAAAGGTTGGGGACCACTGTTTTAGGCAACTAGGATATTGTATATGTGTCATGAATACATGAACTTAACCTTAAATTGAAGTTCCACATCTTGTAAATGTATAACTGGTTTGGATTATTTTTATTGGAATAATTACCTAAATTTGCTAATTCCTTAAATTTTTTAGATATCTTGCCTAAGTCTGAAAAAAGTGAAGATTTTGCACTTGGTGTGACAGTCTTGCCTGATCTGGATTCAGTTTCTGTATGTAAATTTGAATGCTGAATTTAGATGTAACAATTACAACAGTGCTTCTCAAATCTGGGTAAATTACTCCAAATTAGGTAAAAGTTGTTTTGCTTTGGATACTTACACAAAAACCCATTACTCAATCACAACAGGGACATTTCAATTGACTTAAACTGCTTTACATATGTTGGGCAAAAAGAACTTTTTGATAAGCAGTTTTGGATAATGAAAGAAAACATTTGGGAAGCACTGAATTACTGGTTTCAAAAACATGTTAATTATTTAGATAATAAATGTGTGTGTAAGTATTTAATTTGTCTATATAAATATTCTATACTCATTTGTGTATAGAATTAACTGTGCTTTTAGATTTGTATATAGTGACATATATTCTTAAAGCATAACAGTTTCTATTTAGATGTTTAAGATCAAAATATATTTAGTGAAGCTACAGTCCCAAAGTGGGTAGTTCTGAGATGTTTATGATGCCTTTACTACTGAATGGATCTGTTTTTTCCATCTACTGAAGTTTGAAGAAAAATATTGTGAAAAAGCAGCTAGTTGTACTGTAGGTGGAATCATACTTTATTGGGACAATAGACTGACTGGGGGGGGATTTGTCCCATCTTCAGCTGCATAAGGCAGGGGAAAGGTTTTCATTTGTTCATCTAACTGTGGCAAAAATATTACTATTTATTATACAAATCACCCATAGCAAAACTAAAATTTTGATTTTGTGAAGAGATCTAAACAGCATGCCTGGAGGTAAATGGCCAAGTAAAAATCTTTAAATATTTAGGCATGATGTTTCACAGCTTCACTAAATGCAGTGCACTTCAAAACTATGACATACAAAATGCTAAAAAAACCTACCAAAAACCCAGTTGTCACAATCCAATAACTTACATTGCACCAAAGTATCAGCAGTTCTGAAAGTATTTTCAGCTAAGGTTTGGCTTGCACACATTTCTAGTGTCTAAGTTAGGACCTTATTCCTCCTTTATCCTTTTTGAAAGGGTTCATCCAAATTTCTAAGGATTATACTCCAGATATCCTACTGTATGTCAAATGTAATACTAGGGAGGGATTTCTAAGGTCAAAACAGATGCTTGACTTGCATCATAGCAAACTGGCTGAAATTACTGTTCTTTCCCACAGTTGTGAGCTCTTTCCTTATGGAAGATAATTACAAATCAACATGGGTTAGGATTATTTCACAAAAACTCCAACATCTAGGCCTTTCCAATGAGGAGCTCCTGATGGGCTATGAATGTGCATTCAATGCATCTAAACAAAGATTAGAAGTCTGACAGAATCTGTCTGTTCTACCTAAGAGTGTTTTCTTGAGCAGTCATATTCCCTTTTATAAACCAGTGAGATAACTGTTTCTGAATTGCAGAGGGTACTACTTCTAACCTTTATAATGCCCTTCCTACAGCAGTTCTGGAGGACCAATCCAAAATAATCCCCAAAGTCCCAGACCTGAGCTCAGATAGAGCCTCTGTGGATAAGTTGCCATTGAAACCACAGCTAATGTACTCTACCCTCTATAAGAATTCATGGTCTCATTTTATAACTACCATTAAAATATCTGGGAAATTCTGATCTCTTTTATATATAGTTGTTACAATCGGATCAGTATGACCATAGCTAATTCTAGTATATTATCTGTAAAATTATGCAGAATTTGGCCACCCATCGATGATCTTACCATAACTGTAATGTGGTATTATATCTTGTTCTATTGTGTTTCATTTTATTTTAATGTTTTACTTTTTAATTCTGGCCATAATAAAAGATTGATTGATTGATTGATATATTCAGTTCAAAGATTCTGTTCAAATGGCAAGTTGATAAAGAGATACAATGGTAAAAGTTTGTGAACCCTTTTGAATTTTTGATATTTCTGCATAAATATAACATAAAATGTTATCTGTTTTTTCTATAAATCCTAAAATTAGATAGTGAGACTGACTATGCGCACCTCTCCCTCACTCTAATCCAATCCACGCGCAAGTCTTGACATCTTGACTTTCATAAGATGTCAAGGTCTTCATCGAAATCGATGGACAAAAAAATAAATAAATTAGATAAAGAAAACTCAATTAAACAAATGAAACAAAATGATGATGATAATCAGGTGTGAGTGTGGGAGATCTTGCCTTAAAGAACAGAATTCTGAATATTCAGCATCAAAGTATGATCTTCCCAATACAGTTATATGGAAATGTGTCATAGATTGGAGAAAGATTTCTGAGGATGACTGAAAAGAAGTTATTGATACATACCAGGCTGGAAATCTTGCAAAATTATTTCCAAAGAATTTGGACTCCACCAGTCCACTGTAAGGGAGATTTTGTACAAATGGAGGCAATTCAGTACCTTATATACTCAACAAGACCATACCAAGAGAAAGGCATGTGATATTCTGGGGAATCTCAAAGAAGCTAAGGTAATGTCTAAAGGCCTCTCTTGCATTCATGGATGTCAGTGTCCATGAGCATTTAGGAGAACACTGAACAATAATGTGTATGGCAGGATTGCAAGGAGAAGGCCACTACTCTTCAAAAAGAACATTGCTACCCATCTACAGTTTGCAGAAGACCAGTTAGATAAGCCAGAAGGCTATTGGAAGAAAGGTCTATGAATGATCCAATCTTTTTGGCTTGAATGAAAAGCAGCATGTTTAGCAAAAGACAAACACTGCATTCCCGCATTAGAACTTTATTCCATCTGTGAAACATGATGATGGCAATACCACATTTTGGGCTTGCTTTGTTGCTTCTGACCACAACAGCTTACCGTAATAGATGGAGCTATGAATTCTGCATTATACCAACAAAAGTGTCAGTATGTTTAACACTGGAGAGCACTCAGGACAGTAGGAACACTTGGGACAGTAACTCCTAAGGCAGGAAAGTGACTCCATATTATCTTATCATCTTATCTCATCTCATCTCATCTCATCCAGTTTCTCATACTCCTTCTTCCTGATGTTGCTATCATTTGGCATCATTACATCTATCATCACTGTTGTTTTCTGGTCTTTGTCTACTACCATGATATCGGATTGATTGGTCAGTACCTGGCATCCATGGCAGTGGCTTTGACATTCACCAGATCCTGACCACCATCTTTCCTTCTGATGTATAGTCTATGGGTGTTAGATTTGCGGTGAAACCCTCCAGGTCTTCTCATTGGCTGATTCTATGATCTTTTTTGGCTAGCTCACTATACCTGCAGGGTGTCTGATAACTGGCAAGAGCATACACTTTTGCAAATACGTTCTTTTGAATCATTTCCCTCAATAAATAAATGAGCAAGTATATTGTTTTTTATTTATTTGTTTAATTGGGTTTTCTTTAGTTTTAGGACTAGAATTAGAAAAGATCATGTTTTAGGTCATATTTGTGCAGAAATATTGAGAATTCAAAAGGGTTCCCAAATTTTTAAGCACCACAGTAGATGCATCAAACTAAAATATAAAGTTCTGATATAAAGTTCATAAATGCTCTAATGTGGGAGAATGATTAGAACCTAGTTTGCTTATGCCTATACTATTTTGATATGGCTGGCAGAGTTTTCAACTACGGCTACAATCTAACCAGAAGAAAATGACTTCGAATAATAAACTATAATCAAGATTTATACAATATAGTTTAATTCAGTGGCAGCTGCTCCCTGCTTTAGAAACCCTATCTAAATTCAAGTTTCCACCAAAAGCTATAAATTGCCTGTTAATCTATCAGCTGTTCTTTCTGCTGTCTTTAAAGACTGTCCCAATTCAGATGTTAGGCAAAACTATAGTTTATACTGACTACAGTGTAGAATTTGCAAAAGACAAACTCAGGTTTAGAGATGCTAGGTTATTTTTGTTTTCTATTCAGTCAGCACTTGGCTTTATATCTTGAATCCTTGATCATAAAAACAACACTTTCTAATGATAAATGTGTGGAATTATAATTAGTTAATTCAGATGTCTATCCAAAATATAAAATACACTTTCATAATGAAGGGCTGCAGTGGTGTTTGAAATGAATTACTGGCTCTTTCATCCTAATTCGTATGCTAAAATGACTAAACTAGATTTGAAATATATTCAAAATTATACATTTTAATTACTTTATTTTACTTTTTTATATAATATTTCAAAAGTTAATTTATAAAAAGTACTATTTTGAAATATTAAATTGGCCATCAATTACATTTAGTTTTGGCTTGGCTATGAGACAAATCTAGCATTAAAAAGAAATGTGTCGGTATATTTTAGAAATTAACTGTCATATTTTTGCTTTTTAAGTTTTGAAAGTTTTATTTAACTTAATCCTGTCTTGTTTCATTATTTCAAATGTAGTCATCTAATAGAATAATTTTTCCTGACTACTAATGAGTTCATTATGTTTTGCTTACAGCAAGCTATTGACAGTGAAATTAAAGCAGAGGTGATTCCTTCTGTGATGATAAAGGTATTAGCACGTTTAATAAAGTTATCTAAACCATTGCATAAATTATGTAATATAGACATAGTGTCGCAGATTGGTATACAGGAATGATTCTAAAAATTTACAGAAACATTTGAGTGATTTAAATTGCTTATATTATACTCTGGAAAATAAACATTAGATATAAACACTGTTGTTTAGAACAGCAGTCCCCAATCTGCGGGGCGCAACCCACTACTGGGCCTTGAGCTGTTTGGAACCAGCCCATGAAAGTGGCAGGTGAGCTTGTCTGCGCAACCCCACTTCTGCCCACATGCTTGTGCCCGCATGTTCCATTTATGCGAGCAGCATACATGCATGCCCACTGCTCTTGCAAATGGAGCTGCCTGTGTGCATGGGTGCTTGCCTGCTGCTTGCGCAGAACTCTCTCCTCCCCTCATCAGTCCACAAAGCCAGAAACATTGGGGAACTCTGGTTTAGAAGTAAGGTAAGAGCAATGATGATACCATTCAGATATTTTGTAAATTTAATCATAGAATTATTAATGATCTTAAGTCAGCATTTCTGTTTAAAAATATGTCATCTTTCCTTGAGTCATAGTTAGGGATTTGCAGTGGCCTACATCCATAAGAAGTTCCTTAATGTGCTCCTGTTTTTCCTTGCTGTTGCCCTGTGAATATGTTAGCAATGGTAAAGAGAATAAACACTAGCAGTGATAAAAGGGATTATGGCCTTTTAATTTCTATTAATTTCTGTCTGGTGTTTACTTTCTGTGACCTTGTACAAAAAATCCTAAACTTATGACCACAGTTGGAACTGGAATCTTGGTCATTCAGTGAAACAGTCATTAAGACACTCTTATAATTGCTTTACTCAATGACTGTATTTCCACCACTCTTGGTTATGGTTGTTAAGTGATCTTGCAGGTTGTTAAGCAGATGAAGTCCCAGGTGTGGAGCTTAGGATGCCTAAGAGTTATGTGGCAGATCTTCAATTTTGCTCAGCTGAAAATCTTCCCATTAAAATCCAAGCAGGATTTTCAGCTCACATATGCACTGGGCCTCCTGGGGCTTCCCACATATCTCTGAGGCTCCCATACTCTTTCCATACCATTCTGCTTCTTTTTTCTCTGCTTGGCTGAAGGAGATGTCTGCCAAAAGATTTCTGCTGCTTTCTGTGCATGGAAAGGAACAACTTCAGTGGAGGCAGGAAGATGTTCCTTTCTGTTTTTGCATCCTACCGAAGCAGTTTAGCTCTCCTTAGGAGTTAGCTCTTTCAGCCAGGCTCATTGCTGAGAGGGAATTCTTCAGGCAGGCAGCAACCGTTTGCAACCTTTCTTGCCAGCTTCCCCATTGACTTTCAGGAAAAGCCAGCAGAGAAGATTGGAAATGGTGATCATGTAATTGTGGGATGCTTGGCAACTGATCATTAGTATGATCAGATTGCCAAGCACCCAGATCAAATCACATGACTGTGGGGCTAGTCGCACAATATTTTCTGGAAGGCAAAAATTATTTAAGGGCTGTAAAGCAACTTCCCAAGGTTGTTATAAATCTGTTCTGCCATTAAACAAATGATAATAGGTCAAGGACTACCTGCATTCACTATGCAATGGTGTGGATTTGGCCCGAAAGTAGTGAAAAAGGAAATATATAATGGTGAGAATTATTAAGAAGTAGACTTGATATTTTGTCCAATAGTGTCCTAAACTTTGAAACTGATCCTGCTTTGATTTATTGACTGACTTGGTTAAGAAGAAGTGTACTGAGGGGCCTGGGGGAGGGGAGAGAACAGGAGAATTATGGTTTCAAAATGCTGGATTTGAATAAATATTAGATAGAATGTAAACCTATGCTGAAATATAGGCATACCTGTATCTATGTACTGTATGTATGTATGTATGTCTATGTATATTTTTTTCTCATTAATCTACACTGAGTACCCCATAATGACAAAGTGAAAACAGAATTTAAGAAATGTCTGTAAATTTATTTTTAAAAAAATAGAAATATCACATTGGCATAAGTATTCAGGCCCTTCACTCAGTACTTTATTAAAGCGCCTTTGGCAGCAATTACAGCCTCAAGTCTTTAGGGTGTGACACAACAAGCTTTGCACACTTGAATTGGGGGATTTTCTGCCATTCTTTCTTGCAAATCCTATCAAGCTCAGTCAGGTTGGATGGTGATCGTCGGTGGACAGCCATTTTCAGGCCTCTCCAGAGATGTTCAATAGGGTTCAAGTCAGGGCTCTGGCTTAGCCACTCTAGGACATTCACAGAGTTGTCCCTGAGCCACTCCTGTGTTGTCTTGGCTGTGTGCTTAGGATTGTTGTCATGTTGGAAAGTGAACCTTCAGTTCAGTCAGAGGTCTTGAGCGCTGTGGAACAGGTTTTCATTGAGGATATCCCTGTACTTTGCTCCATTCAGCTTTCCCTCAACCCTGACCAGTCTCCCAGTCCTTGCTGCTGAAAAACCATGCTGCCACCACCATGCTTCACTATTGGGTTGCCATTGGGTAGGTGATGAGAAGTGCCTGGTTTCCTCCCGACATAACATTTAGAATGTTATTCTTGGTTTTATCAGACCACAGAATCTTGTTCCTCACAGTCTGAGAGTCTTTCAAGTGCTTTTTTGCAAACTCCAAATGGGCTTTCATGTGTTTTGAATTGAGAAGAGGCTTTTATCTAACCACTCTGCCATAAAGCTCAGTGGAGGGTTGCAATGATGGTTGTCCTTCTGGAACTCTGTCTCATCTCCACACAGGATCCCCAGAGCTCAGTCAGAATGATAATTGGGTTCTTGGTCACCTCTCTTACTAAGGCCCTTCTCCCCTGATTGCTCAGTTTGACCAGGTAACCAGCTCTTGGAAGAGTCCTGGTTGTGCCACACTTCTTCCATTTGAGAATTATGGAGGCCACTATGCTGTTAGAAACCTTCAATGCCGCGGAAATTTTATTGTATCCTTCCCCAGATCTGTGCCTTGCAATAATCCTGTTTCTGAGCTCTGCAGGCAGTTCCTTTGCCCTCATGGCTTTTGCTCTGCTACAGTGTGCATTGTCAGCTGCGAGGCCTTCTATAGAGAGGTGTGTGCCTTTCCAAATCATGTCGAATCAATTTAATTTACCACAGGTTGATGCCAGTCAAGGTGTAGAAATATGTCTGCAATGATCAAGAGAAATGGGAGGCACCTGAGCTAAATTTAAAGTGTTGTTGCAAAAGGTCTGAATATTTATGCCAATGTGATATTTTAGTTTTTTCTTTTTAATAAATTTGCAGACATTTCTAAAATTCTGTTTTCACTTTGTCATTATGGGGTACTGAGTATAGATTAATGAGAAAAAATATAATTTTGAACAACTAGAATCAGGCTGTGATATAACAAAATTGACAAAAGTGAAGGGGGTCTGAATACTTTCTGAATGCACTGCGTTTGTGTATGTGTGTATGCATACACATCTCTCTCTGTGTGTATACATAGACAAATACACACACTACACATACACATTTATACACACACACACAGACACTTATATACACACACATATACGTATTCCATGACCTGGAATGTGAAAGGAAATTAGATGATAGATGTAGTGTTGCTAAGTGACAGCAACATCAGGAAGAAGGATTATGAGAAACTGGAGAAACTATAATATATAAATATATTGGTGACAGTGGTGATTTGGAGCACTTGGGGCCATGACACCCTAGGCTGGGAGAGTGGCTACCACAGATCCCAGGAATGATATCAGAGCTCTCTGTCCAGAAGAGTGTATTGCTCAGAACCCACAAACCCCAAGACAACCAGAGATTGGGGAAGTTACAGATTACCCATCAGGATGACAAGGGAATTTTTTTATATGTGTGTGCATCTCTGTCTGTCTGTCTGTCTGTCTGTCTCTCTCTCTCTCTCTCTCTCTCTCTTTATGCTTGTGTGCGTGAACATTGTTTATATGTTAATTCCTGTGGAAGTATTAACTACTGATTTACTAAAGTGATGAAATAATATTTTTGAAGTTCTAAATGTCAGTTTTATATTTATAATTACAATTTATTTAAGTAATGTTTTATTATTATCTGTAAATACCTTTCAAATATTTTGATCCAACAGATTGAAGTTGAAAGCAGACTACCAACACTTACAAAATTAACAGTATGTGTCCCATGTCCTTTAGCATTGACCCAAAACTCCTTCATTTTAGAATTAGGTAAATTGCTTATTTTTTTCTATGATTGTTTGGTGAATTAAACATAGTTTAAACTCTTCACATAGATTTGTGTAATTATTTCTATTTTTTGTGTATTTGCTATATTTTTTTAAAGCTCAAATGAAGATTAAATAGGTTTAAGCAGATAGAGGTTCCTGAATTATTTTTACATTTTGCTATCTTTTTACTTTTTACTTTTTCATATGGCATAACAGAATACAGCACTAATGCATCTGAAAAGAGCCATCATTTTTATATTCATGCTGCTGCTTCTTGCTGGGAGATCCTTGTGAGGTTCAACAGCCAGAATGTATAGACTATTTAGTCATGGCAAAGTCATATTGCCCGGGGTGCACCACAAAGAGACTAGTCTACATTGTGCCACATCTTTCTACTGAATTTAGTTGATATGACAATAACAATCTTTTTCTCCAGTGAGTATTCAAGACAAGAAACAAACATTTAAAAATATACTCCAAGGTACAACTTAAAAGAAAATTAGTACAAAATGTTTTACCGATGATATTCATCATAATTTTCAAGATAAATAAATATATAGTAATAAATATTAGAAATGCCATGAAACATTTTACCACATGTGGGACATGTAAAACAACCTCAAATTACTGAAAGGATATACATAGTAGCCATGTTTTAGAAATTAATAGTTTTAGAAATTAAAATTAAAATGAAACCATAACTTTTCTTACTAGGTACAATCCAAGAAAACATCAACTAGAAATATCATAATTTACTGAGACACGTGTTTGTCGCTGTGAGAATAAATTTTGCTCAGCACTAGAAGAAAGATATAATTCTGACATTATTTTATCAGATTGGGAACTTGGAGAATATGGAGAAATGGCAAAATTAACAGTATATATTTACAACAGAAGTTTAACCAAATTTAAACAAGAATGGTTCCCAAACATAAAATATATTGTATAGCATGGCAAATTTAAACATTTACAATTTGGTGTCCAAGGGGGCCTAAATATTTATAAACATTGTAAATTAGCTGAAGCACAAAAAGGAGAAAGTTAGAAACCAAATATCTTTTTTTTTCTTTTTTATTACCTATTTTGCTAGTTTCTTTTTTTCTTTTTTTTTCAAGATGCACAAACAGTAGTATATAACAATGTAGTGGAGACTGGGTATTAAGTTCATTTTAAGGGCAGAAACTTTATTGTATAACAAATAGAGCCAGTTTGGTGTAGTGGATAAAATGCCAGCCTACAAACCAGGAGACTATGAATTTTGGTCTCATTTTATGCATGAAAGCTGGTTAGTGATTGAGCCAATCACTTCTCTCAGTCCAACCCAACTCAGTGGGTTGTTGTGGAGAAAATAGGAGCAGAAAGCATTTTATGTAAGTCTGTTGCCTTTAGCTACTTATAGAAGTAATAAAGGTGGGATAAAAAAATACTAAATTAATAAAATAAAATATTTTGATGTAATTTGCAGATGCTTCTTAATGTTATACTTGGTTTTGGTATAAAAGCTAAATGTATATTAAAAATAACAATTTAAATCATAGTTAACATTGATATAGCATCTTTTCTTTTTTCTCCAGATAGATCTTGACTTACGACTAATTATTTAACAATGGTTCAGAGTTGCTAAACAGCCTTAGAAAAGGTGCTTTATGGCCTGTGCTGCCCTTCCTGTCTCCCCCAGTCAGGTAACTTCATTTTGGTGTTTGGCAATTAGCTTGTATTTACAGCTAGTTTTGCCAAACACTTCATGGCTTTCAATTGCCATATGCAACCTTCTCTGCCAGCTTCCCCTGAAAGTTCGAAGCTGGCAGGGAAAGTTGAAGGCAAAGGGGAGCTCAAATCCTTTGGTGGGCTCCAGGAACATTTGAGAGCAGAAGGACTGTATACTAGGAATATTTCAGCTCTGCACAGAGTTAAAATTCTCCAGCAGATAGTTCTTTTGCTGTATCCAGGAAGATCACTTAATGATTGCAACCAGGAGTGCTAGGATTTTGGTTGTTGAGTGATTCAGTCATGTGGTTTGACAGTCATTTTGCTCAATGAGTCGCCTTGCAGGAGAATGGGTGGAAAACAAATTTAATTAAATATATAAAAAATAAAACAACTGAGATTCAGATCTCATTTATGGTCATAAGTCAAGGACTAGCTGTATCTTTAATGGTTATAGTACAATATACCGTGAATCTTTAGTCAACACTACATACGTGCACTGTATTGAAATAATATAATATATTATATATAATATATTGCCTACAAAATATGTACTATTACGTCTAAAATGTAACAAATTAGATTAAAAATAAAACTAAATTATAAATAGAAACATGACTAAAATTAATTCTAAAATTAAAAGTGTGGTGAAAGTGATGCATCTTCATAGATTTTCTAAACACAGAGAGTGGGACCAAATGCGGCTTCTCAGTGTGTGTTGCATTGCTTTGGAGCAACACAATAATTCCCCCCCCCCACATGATAGAAAGTGAGATTTCTTATAGGGAGAACTATCCTTAACAACTGGAGAGATTTGTAATAACTTGTCCATTTTTCTGTTAACCAGAAAACTTTAATTATTTAATGACAATCTATAACCAATTGGGTTATGCTTTCAGAGATACTTCCTTAGATCAGATTCTTCAATGTGTCCAACAGTGATAGAGATTCTAATATATTGTTTTCATTGGAAAATGTGGCATACATTCAAAGATGTATCTGCCTTGAAAATAGCCCAATTTGAACTGTATAGCCCACTCAAACATCAGCACAGAAAAATGTTTATGTGATTTTGTATTATGTTATATACCTTTTTATGATGATTTTAATTTCATAAAATGTTTTATAAAATTTGCTAACTTTCAATGATTTCAACCTGTTTTTGGAGGGATGAGGATGATTAATTAAACCCTATTTGGAGAAAGACATTCTTTTTAGTTTGGAGCTTCTGGGATCCTGCCTGGCATGTCTCTAGCTGGGTCTAATCCAAAGTATAAGGCTATGAAGGGACTGGTTCCTGCCAGGCAAAAGATCCTCTTGCATTGCACCACAGCTGCAGAAACCTTCGCTATTACAGTTAATCCAAGGCAGTGAGATAGCTTCAAAGCTCTGTATTCCTTAAAGTTGTTGTTGTTTTGGTGTCTCATAGTTTAGTAAATAATTCTACTGCATGTAAAGTAAAAAAAATAGTAGTTTACAATGCTACATAATTAATTCCAATTAATACTGGGACATTTTGCTGTTGAATAGATGATCTCTGGCAGGGCTTTTCAACCAGTGGTACGGGTACCACCTGTGGTACATTGGCACCTGGCAGGTGGTATGCGACCATCCTAGAAAAGTAGCGGGGGAGGGGAATGAGCTGAACCAGTGGCAGCACTGCACAAGCCTGAGCGAGAGATGGCTGAAGCTGCAGGGCTGTCAGGGCTCAGCGGAAGCACCAGGATCAGTGTCGCTTTCCAGCTGATCGGGCCTTCTTCGGGGCTGTCAGGGCTCAGTGGTAGCGCCAGGATCAGTGCCAGGCTCCGGCTGGAGCTTGGCGCTGATCCTGGTGCTTCTGCTGAGCCCTGAAGAAGCACCAATCAGCTGAAAAGCAGCACTGATCCTGGTGCTTCTGCTGAGCCCAGAAGAAGCGCCAATCAGCTGGAATGTTGCAGCATCTCCAGGGTCTTGTGATTTACATTCAGATGCTTGGCAACTGATTCATATTTATGACGGTCACAGTGTCCCAGGGTTATGTGAAGTGACCAAAACCTGCTGCAACCACCCAGCAGATGGGGGGAATAAAAACCAAACACCCCCCACCCTACCCCCACTGCCAATTCTCAACAGAAATGCTCACAATAATGAAAACCTCGGACAGGAGGAAGAGGAGGGCGGGCAGGCAGGTGTCTTGCTCGGCTGTGGCTTGGGGGGCACTTTTTTCAGTGCCATTGTAACTTCGAACAGTCACTAAGCGAACTGTTGTAAGTCGAGGACTACCTGTACTTTATCACTTTTTTCCTTTTTTTGGGGGGGGTCATCAAGTTTTTGACACCTTGCTAGGCGACTGGTGGTACTCGGATGTTGCCATATCTTAAAAGTGGTACAATGGGTGAAAAGATTGAAAAGCCCTGATCTATTGGACTAATTATGATTTTGAATGAAATATTTGACAAATTTCAGTAATTTCAGGTTTTCTTTTATTATACACTGCTTTTTTATATGAAAAAGACATGTAAATAGCATTACAAGTCTTTTTCAGTATAGGATAAAGAATGAATGAGTAATGAGTTGCGACTGAACTAATGTTTCTTTGTTATAATTTCATAGACAAATTTCTCAGTCTCTTTTTCCAATTTACCTTTTCATTGTTTTGTTTGTGTTCACAGAATCTTCTGTATCTAAAAGAGTTGTACTTTCTGCTTTTCTAAAAGGGAACTATCTACCAGCAGATTTGGAAGGTAGTGTTATAGCATCATACAATACTGCAACAGGTAAATTATTAAAGAATATAAATAAATGATAAAATAATTATAGTAGTTTATTTGAAAATAATTCTTTATATAACATTTTATGTCTTAATGTCTTTGTAGAAACAATTGTTAGTTATTTTATAAAATAAAACATTGAAGTATAATGTACCATCTCAATTTTACCTTGGTCTTTCTTTCTGTGGGGACGGGCACCATGTTATCTTTTTATGATGTCAAAACAGCTACTGTATATATCTTATGTAGGTGTTAGAACATTACTGAAAATGCAGTGTTGCAGTATAATTTTCTCTTTCCCTTATAAATTAAACATTAAAAAAATCAAAAGTGATACCAAAGATCAGGCTTAGAGATGCATTATTGCCTGTCCCTAAAATTGGGGTATTTTATATATGAATGATTTATTTCAGGTGCACCAAGGGTTGTCGAATGCAAATTCCGATTACCTTTGCGGCTCGTTTGTTTTCCTGCTCAGCCTTCAAAAACAGCAAACCAGAAGTTAACTATTGATACCAACAAACCTACAGTCAGCCTTATTACTCTTTTTTCAGGTAAAAATTCAAACAATAAGCCTTTTTAATAAGAAAATGCCTGCAATAAAGAAGGAAGTTTGGAAGAAATGATGCAAACTGTGTTTCTTCTTTTTCATGTAGACTTTGCTGATCAAATTGATGAAGATCAACTTAATGTGTTAGGATTTCAATTATTAGCTGGCTCCAGAGTCACTTTACTTGCTTCGAAAACATCTCGTGAGTATCTGATTAATTGAAGTAATTCAGAGTTGGGATTGGATTATACAAGAACTATTCCTAAAATCTAGATTTGGTTAATTTTAAAATTTGGTGTGATTAATGTATGCTATAACACAGGGCTTTTCAACCTTTTCACCCATTGTACCACTTTTAGGATATGGCAACATCCGAGTATCACCAGTTGCCTAGCAAGGTGTCAAAAACTTGATGACCAAAAAAAAAAAAAGGAAAAAAGTGATAAAGTACAGGTAGTCCTTGACTTACAACAATTCGCTTAGTGACTGTTCGAAGTTACAATGGTACTGAAAAAAGTGCCCCCCAATCCACAGCCGAACAAGACACCTGCCTGCCCACCAGCGGCGCTCTTCCTCCTGTCCGAGGTTTTCATTGTTGTGAGCATTTCTGTTGAGGATTGGCAGCGGGGGTGGGGTGGGGGATGTTTGGTTTTTATTCCCCCCATCTGCTGGGTGGTTGCAGCAGGTTTTGGTCACTTCACATGACCCTGGGACACTGTGACCGTCATAAATATGAATCAGTTGCCAAGCATCTGAATGTAAATCACAAGACCCTGGAGAGGCTGCAACATTCCAGCTGATTGGCGCTTCTTCAGGGCTCAGCAGAAGTGCCAGGATCAGTGCTGCTTTCCAGCTGATTGGTGCTTCTTCAGGGCTCAGCAGAAGCACCAGGATCAGCGCCAAGCTCCAGCCGGAGCCTGGCACTGATCCTGGCACTACCACTGAGCCCTGACAGCCCCGAAGAAGCGCCGATCAGCTGGAAAGCGACACTGATCCTGGTGCTTCCGCTGAGCCCTGACAGCTGTGCAGCTCCAGCCATCTCTTGGTCAGGCTTGTGCGGTGCTGCCACTGGTTCAGCTCATTCCCCTCCCCCTCTACCACCTTTCTAGGATGGTCGCATACCACCTGCCAGGTGCCAATGTACCACAGGTGGTACCCGTACCACTGGTTGAAAAGCCCTGCTATAACAAATCCATGTAAGACTAGAACAATAAAAATCATTAGTTCTTATGTAAAGCATACTTTTGCATGAAAAAAGACCAATGCTTGAATTCTGAATCCCACTCAGTATTCATAAATTATGGTATTTCATTAGATGGAACTGTGATAATATTCATGGTGAAAAAAGGCCAGCATGTTTAATAATCATATTAACAATGTTCCTATGCATGTGGAAAAATATATATGTACCTCAATTTATTTACTAATGTGATTTATTTATTTTTGTCTAAGAATTTGGTTTATGTAAAAAAAAGCCACTATTCAATGTGTACCATCATAGTCAATTTGCACCAAAGATCTGGAATATGCCAACATCTCTTGCAACCAAAATTGTTTCAACATTTTCATGTCAAAACCCATTTCCTTTCTATCTATTTACGCATTTACTATCGTATTCTCAGTTATTCTACTTGTTGCATCCTGTCTTCTACTTCTATTCTACAATAGCTGGTATTACTACTATCAGGTCAAACTGGCCATCTTCTCTAGTACCTTATATAAAAAGGAAACAACAACAATCCAACACAACAACCAAAGTTGCATGTACTCCATTGCATTAAAGTTGGCAAAGAATCCTCCATCCTAGGACAAGATTTTAAGATGGGTTAATTTATTGAGTCCAATCTAATGGACAATGCTAGTAAAATTCATAATACCATGTTGCATTATACCTCTATGACTATCATGATAACCACATGCATAAGAAATCTAGTTAGGGAAAAAGTAATTTCACTGTATACAGAAAATGAAACAATGTTAAAAATATGTCTGATTAATGTAACACTCATAAGAGACACCTAGAGCAGGGCTTTTCAATCTTTTCACCCATTCTACCACTTTTAAGATATGGCAACATCCGAGTACCACCAGTCGCCTAGCAAGGTGTCAAAAACTTGATGACCCAAAAAAAAAAAAAGGAAAAAAGTGATAAAGTACAGGTAGTCCTCAACTTACAACAGTTCGCTTAGTGACTGTTCGAAGTTACAATGGCACTGAAAAAAGCGCCCCCCAAGCCACAGCCGAGCAAGACACCTGCCTGCCCGCCCTCCTCTTCCTCCTGTCCGAGGTTTTCATTATTGTGAGCATTTCTGTTGAGAATTGGCAGTAGGGGTAGGGTGGGGGGTGTTTGGTTTTTATTTCCCCCGTCTGCTGGGTGATTGCAGCAGGTTTTGGTCACTTCACATGACCCTGGGACACTGACCGTCATAAATATGAATCAGTTGCCAAGCATCTGAATGTAAATCACAAGACCCTGGAGATGCTGCAACATTCCAGCTGATTGGCGCTTCTTCTGGGATCAGCAAAAGCACCAGGATCAGTGCTGCTTTTCAGCTGATTGGTGCTTCTTCAGGGCTCAGCAGAAGCACCAGGATCAGCGCCAAGCTCCAGCCGGAGCCTGGCACTGATCCTGGCGCTACCACTGAGCCCTGACAGCCCCGAAGAAGGCCCGATCAGCTGGAAAGCGACACAGATCCTGGCGCTTCCACTGAGCCCTGACAGCTGTGCAGCTCCAGCCATCTCTTGGTCAGGCTTGTGCGGTGCTGCCACTGGTTCAGCTCATTCCCCTCCCCCGCTACTTTTCTAGGATGGTCGCATACCACCTGCCAGGTGCCAATGAACCACAGGTGGTACCCGTACCACTGGTTGAAAAGCCCTGACCTAGAGTGCCACTAGACAAAAACAAAAAGTGAGGCTGACCAAGAATATATAAGTGTCCATATTGGAACTTACCTTATGGCGATAAGAGTAACAAAGCATAATTACTTTTCTACCCTCATTGCATCTGTAAGTAGTTGATCAGTGGCCTTGTTTTGGGCGACCAGATCCTTCCTGATTAAGGAGAAGCTGGGGAGTCCTTGCAGGGTCACTATGAGGAATATTCTTGGCATCTATCAGAAAACGTTGCTCAATGATTGAGTTGATCAATCTACTCAGTCTACTGCATAGATCCTTTGGAAGAGAGAGATGCATTTGAGTCTTGTTATCTGGGGTTTGAACCTTGTTATTTGAAGTTCAAAATAGTTGCTCTTGAGAAAGTGTACAGAGTCCTTTGGCTGTAGACTCAGCCACCTGAATTCTGGATCCATGGTGGTTGGTTGGTTGGCATCCCAAAAATAGCTTCTTGTTAGGTCCAAGCAATGACTAATCTCTCTTTGGTCATACTTGTCTATGACCTTTGGATGGCTCAGGAAAGAGATGGTACAATCACCCTGGCTTTCTTGGACCTCTTACAGGCTTTCAGTACCATCCACCATGATATTTTTCTGGACTGGCTTTGAGAGTTGGAAGTGAGAGACACTGTGTTATTATGGTTCTTCTTGTTGCTCTGTGGCCGATTTCAGTCTGTGTTGGTGCAAGAAGAGGGTCAAACCTACCCCCTGCAATATGGGAGGGCTCAAGCTTTTTGCCGCTCCTTTTAACATCTATCAGTATACAAATATTATATATTTCTACTCCTAGCCAGACAGGTGATCTTGTGGTGGTGCTCGTCATGTGGAAATTGTAAGGGTTCAGATGGAGAGGAGATGGCTTTGACTCAATCCTGGGAAGACAGATTGGTTTTGGGTTTGTGGCTATCCCTCCTGCTTCAGATGATATTTCATCTTTGAATCTGGATAAAGTGTTTGTGGCACTCCTCCAGGCTGGGTGAAATTTGCATGTCCTCCTAGACTCATGGCTTCTGCTTAAGAAGCAGGTGGCAGCCATGATACAAGGGCCTTTGCACAGATTGTCTGCAGTTTCCATCCCTTCCTAAATTGGGAGGCCTTGCTCACTGTCACTCATGCATTGTCACTTCCCTTTTGGATTACTGCAACATGGTCTACCTGGGGCTGTCCTTGAAGATCACCTGGAATCTACAACTCCAAATGCAGTGGCATGCACAGTGATGGATGTATTTAGATTTATCTATGTAACATCTCTGTTGTGTGACTTTTACTGGCTCCTGGTTTCTTTCCAGATGCAATTCAAGGTACTGGTTATTACCTTGAAAGCCCTATATGACACAGGACCAAGTTATTTGTGATACTGTATCTCCCCAAGGACTTATAGCCTACTGTCAGATCAGATAGGATGGGCATATTACTAGTCCCTTCCCTTAAACATTGCCATCTTATGGGATCTAGAAATGTGTGTTTTCCATAGCAGCCCTACCCTACGGAACACCCCTCTCTCTAACGTTTGGCAGGCCCCATCCACCAGCCTTCTGAAAAGCATTTAAGACAGGCACTGGGATAGGGTGAGATTGACAAGAAAACTTATTAGTGGACTTACTCATTAAAATTTAACAGTGGTACGTGGTTTAAATGTTTGTGCTTTTAATAGATATAAGTATGCATTCATGATACAATAATGTTATTTTAATTATTGGTTAGGAGCTGCCCAGAATTTGATGTAAGATGGGTAAAGGAAAGATAAAAGAGTCCCTGCAGATTTTATTCTGCTAGCCATTACTGACTATAAGGAGCCCTGCTTATCTCCATTTTGAGGCTGTTAAGCCAGCGCTGTCTAAAGATGTTTCTGTGGTCATGTGGCTACTAAAACAATTTGTAAATACAGTAGTTTGCCACATAATGCTAATTGCTGTTTAATAAGTATTATCAACTGAGCATGCAATCTAGTTGGCAGTATTTTCCTTCTCAACATTTTAAGTTGTGCTTTGTAATGCTAAGTTCCTTATTTTTAACCATTCTTCATGTACACAGCATTTTCCACTGTCCTTTTAAAAATTTGAGACATTCAGTTCCATGAAAGATTTGGAAATACAATTATTCAACTATTGTCTATTCTATTTATATGGATTTTAGAGATGCTGTGAACAACGTTCTAGATTTTGGTGACATGAGGTTTTCATTATAGCCTTTGATAGGAAGAAAACTTAGTAATGTTCAATTTAAATCCTCTAAGGAGAAACATCTGGGGAAGAAGTTAGGTATGGATTCTCACAGTACCAGTTAATTTACTTTTGTAAATTACATTTCT